ATTGGCTTTATTTGCTGCTTTTTTTCTTTTGCAATTGACTCAGGTACTAGAGTTCGTTTTGACTCAAGGAAAGGTGGATGAAACTTAATGGCTTTTCTTTTCTATTTTCTTTTTTGATTCAGGATAGAAATGAGCAAAAAGCAAGGGGGCTTCATTTAGGGTAAGTTTCTTATTGTTTCTTTTTTCATTCTTCGAGCTTATACATGAACTTATGAAGTTTCCTCCTCCTCGATGTTGCATAAAAGAATTAGTGTTTTGATTCCTAGTTTTTGTTTCTTTTTTTTCGTTGTTTGAACTCGACTTGTAAACTATAAATGTTTTGGAAGTTGAACAGTTTGGCCAGTAGGAAAGTTTCAAGACACTTATATAAATTGAAACAATGAAAACAAAAGAAACAAAAAGAAGCTCACCTAGTAAATGAAGTTGCCCTTATCCCGACCTTAAAAAAGGTGAAACCCCCTCCTCCCTCATATTCCAGATCCTCTTAAGTAGAGAAAGTCCTCAGTTTCCAGCTAGTAGCCATTATTAAGAGAAAAAAGGTATTACAAGTTGGATTTCCTTATTTATCAAGCGAGCAGTCCATAATAGCGTTGGGGCGCGCTCTGCCACGTACCGACGATCGCGGCGATCGCCGAGGTCGCCGCGATCGCCGCTGCTGTCGCGAAGTATGAACGCTGCCCAAGAGTACCATGTCTCATGCTATTAACATTTCCTTGATACGAATAGCCAAAACCCGTTCCTGTCTCCCCAATATATGTGGAGTTACATGCCTGACACTGGATTTCATGTATTAACCCCAAGTGCGCGTCGTCGCCAATCTCCCTGTGTACGAGCAACACAATTTTCTGACATGCACTGCTTGGGACCCGGGCGATTCTATCGTCGGCAAGTCAGGTCACGTCGCGCACATCGCGTCGCGGCGTCTCGCGCGGCGGCGCGGTGCGACAATTCCGGAGTTGCATTACCGACATACAAATGAGTCTCGAAGACCGCGTATTCACAAGTTCCGAAAAGCCCAAAATTGGATCAGTAATTTTGAGCAAATAACGTGGGACCAGTCTTACACCCCTTTACTTTTGAATGCGGAAAAACAATCATTGATCATCATAGGAAAATGGGACAAGCAGTACAGGATTAACATAAACAATATGGCTTGATGATCATTTTAACAATTTCAAAGAGCACGACGCAGCAGGATTCGTACGCGGCGCCCACCAGCGCGGCGACCTTTTTACCATCGACGATAGAATCGCCACACACCCGCACTGCTTGTCGTAGAGCCTTTTACGGCCTAGTTGGTTTGATGCTTTCATTTGGCATATTTACCAACTGGACATCGTCCTGCAGCTGTGCTTTATGCTACATTTGATTGCAGCGCTCACCTCATCAGATATAAGAGAATACACAAAAGTATCTTGGGTTTTGAGCGGTAGATACGCGTTTTGCGATCAATATTGCTGCCTTCGCGAGTGGAGTTGGTGTGGTGCCGTATACCCATTCATGACGGCTATTTTTGTGGCACACTCTCGTGATTCTTGTCGTTTTACCTCTGCGGTGCACATTCCCGTTACCGTTCGGAACATTATACGGACAAACAGCGCACGCCTAACAAGTGTGCCTGATGTTAACGTTGGACAGTATTTTTACTGAGCAGCCACTGGACAAACTTGCGCAATAAGGAATGGTAGCCAACTGTTTTGGGGGGGGGGTTTCTCGTGACAGCTTAAAGTACTGTGATTGTTCAATCATCAGTCGAAACAGTCATCTGTTTCGTATCATGTTGATGTTATTATGAACTAGCCAACCAGTATAATACAGTATAATTAGGCTAGCTCTCCAGCGCCGGTCCTCCTACCCTTAAAGGCCACGTTTCCGCGATAAACCAAGGCTGGCTTCTCATAACCGCGCACGATGGTCAAGCAGGCAACGTCAGAGGCTATGCTGCTTTTAAGAGTTGAAAAAAGCAACGCAGGGTGCTCAGGCTTTAGGCGCCATTTGCCGCCCGATAGGCCCATGCAAGTCAACAAACACACGGCAGTTCTATTTTTGAACCGTATTACCTATGAGCTGTGGTCGCGGGAATTGCCTTTGAAGCAGGCTACGAGAACTCGCTCATGTTATTCTAATGAATACTATAATATTGAGGAAATGTAAAAGAGGCAAGATGGGACCAGTAGGCGAAAAGCTTGCACATATTACTAATTTCTGATCGATGTTCTCGCTGAGCGCCTTTTCTGATTCTTAACATTGAATAGACCCGTAGTATAGGTAATTCGGAGTTTCTTATAAATCATTAGAGGTAGAAGACTTTACTTCATATGGAGTGAGCAGTCGATATTTTCAGTGAGTACTCCGAGTTGATATCGCATCACTTCCAAATTCATTGTGTACTTAACGTCGAACTAAACAAAAAAAAACTCTGAAATTGAAGTCACCCCGACAACCCACTGTAGACATTACAGCTGCGAAACGCATTACATACAAGAGCCATCTCACGGCCTTCAAAAGAGGCTTGCTGACAAGCTTATTTTCGAACACAGCGGTTTGCTTAGACTGCATTCATACTCTGCGGCAGCGCCCACCAGCACCCACCGGCGGTCGGTCAGCTTCAGCGACTCGGAAAGTGTAGTTATCGATATGGCGAACGGTAGCGTACCAGCGTCGACCAGCGTCCGCTAGCAAACATCAGCGTCTCGAGAGATAGAGAAGCTATGGATATCGATCTGGCGTCTACCAGCGTCTACCTGCAACCACCAGCGTCCGCCAGGGACCATCAGCATCTCGAGAAATAGGAAATTATGGATATCAATCCAACCTCTGCAAGCGTCCAGCGGCGATCATCAGCGTCCACCAGCGTTCAAGAGTACGACATTGTGTCGTAGCACGGTGCGGTTGCAAACTCCACAATCCCACGACGCCTAATCTAGCTTTCTCCTCCCTCCTACCCATGCAAGTCTCTAGCGTCTGCTACGTCTTACTTTCCATAGTTCTACCTCGTCGCTGTGTGGACGCTATCAAACGCTGGTAGAAGCTGGATAACACTAGGCGATATGCATATTTTCCCCATCTCTCCAAAGGCCGTTGTGGGTCTCCTGCTGAGGACGTCTGGCAGACGCTTTCGCTGTTGCCAGATCTACTACTTATTTCCCAGGTCATGTTACTTTCAGGCACGCTCGAAACGCTAGTTTGCGCCTCATGGACGTTGAATCAAAGTCATGAACACACTTATTTGGCACCTTTTCCGCAAGCGAACACAGTGCTTTTTTGTCTCCTTTTTCTTATGCTAGGTACTCTCTTAAACGATCTGCTTGCAATCAGCAAAAGTCGACTACCCACATCTCTCAGAACTAAGTATGCCGGTCACGCCTTCTGCCTGTTGTAATCGTGATATAAAGCGTAGTAGACTTTAAATTCACGTCATAAACTTTCATACATGGAACGAACTACTACTTCATAAAAAACTTGTGAGATCAGAGGAGGTTACGAAATTCCCTTGCAGATGTAAATAACACTTCTTGAAGCGCGTTAAATAGATCTCTTTGAACATGAAATGGCCATTGCTCACTGTATCCTTTGAATCGAAACAGATGGTCAAGTGAGTTCCAGAGGATTGAACATTCTGACTTGAATTGAACGGCTTTCCCTCCAAGATAACCAGGTGGGCAAATAAGTGAGGGGATGTTCAAAACCGTCCTGCTGTAATTATTGGCGAGTCCCCAGCCCGTTAATGTGTTGAACGGAGCTAGAGTTTTGTGAAACCTTTTTCTCCATCACGTCAGTTTCTTCATCAAAATTCAAGACTCTTACTGTTTTTTACCTTACCGCGGCTAATCGTGAGCCTTCACTACCATATCAACGCGTCCACTAGTAGGCGGGGCCTCCAACGAAGGTGGAGGTGTCTATATTACTTCATCGATATGTCATTTCTAAGGCACTTCAAGCCGCAACACCAGCTCGTTGTTCCTTTTTTTGTCACCTCAGCGCCTTATCAGTTTCATTTCTGTGGGGCGAAAGTTACCGCGGAATATAGTTGAAAAAGACTCACTTCATTGAGGAACTCTTCACGAGTTGCAATGATGAAAATAACTGTTCGATAATACCACAATAAGCAAAGCTAACGCCGCAGCGAGGATTTTATAGAAGCTGAAAAGAGAAAAGGTCATTATAAGGACGCACGGGCTAAGTATAATAGGTCGAGAGTGTGTTTCTTCAAGCAGGAGATCTGGAGGGTGCTACTGGGACCCAAGTTGTGGTGGCGAGCACAACTACCAGATAGCCCCCAGCCAGATGACTTGGATACTGTAGCATCCCAGCATTGAGTCAGTAGGTCCTGGAGCGAGTACAATCGTG